CGAAGTCCCCTGACTTCGCTTGGGCGGGCTGCCGTCCCCCGACGGCTTTTGAAACAACCAAGTACTAACTATATGGTATTGAAACATTATTTCTTCAACAGGCTATCCAGTTGTTGTTCCGTAAGGATCACGTATTGGCTATTTGTATCCACGTTGAAATAACGTTTGTCCAGTTCCTTTACCGGCAATACATTAAAGCAGGAGTAAAAGGAATCGGGTTGCGGCAGCTGATTGATCTCTTCTTCCACAACTTTAAAGGTAATACCGGGAGAATAGTTTTTCAGCTTCGACATCATGACGGTTTCTACGGGAAGGCCCCAGCTGTAAATAAAAAGATCATTGCTTCCTTGGGCGGATAAGCGGACAACCGCCTTGCTGATGTGTTGTGCTTTCAGGTAATCTGTTATCTGCTCGATATATGTAACCCGTTGATGGAACAGCGCATAAGCATTGCCGATGTAGCAAATCCGGACGAGGAAGATACCCGCAAAAATGATCCCGGTAATTTTATAGTTCAGCCGTGGTATTACCTGCAGCACAAACGGGGTAGCGATCACAATGGCCAGCGCCATCCATTCACTCTCAATATAAAACAGCCGGTCCCGTCCGAACGGCTCCGGGTAGGTCAGGCAGATCAGGGAGAAGTAGCCGAAGGTATAAGCCAGCACGAGTGCGAGCTGCATATATTTCCGGGCCATAAGCAGGGCAGCCACACTTGCGATGAGTACCAGCACCACCACCCAATAATTATTTAGTAACCGGGGATACATGCTTAATGCATGCCCATTGCTGAAGGATGTGATAATCGTATCGAACCCCATCTTCCTGAGCGGTTCCAGCTTGCCCACATCATACCAGCTATGACTGGTGCCGAGCCAGTATTTGACAGAGAACAGCACTGTAATGCCGAGCAGGGCCAGCAGGATCGGGATAACGGACTTCCGGGTGATTTTCTTACGGTTTTCAAGCAGGTAATAAAACCAGAGATAACTCAGCGGGATAATAACGATGAAATGGCTGAACACCGCCAGGAAGGCCAACACCGGTAATAGCAGCAGCACCGGAATACTAAAACGCCCCTTCTGAGAGTAGTGCAAAAAGGTGCCGAGAAACAGAATCATCCACGCAACTCCCTGGTGTACCTCGTTATTGGGCCAGAAATAAACATCACTTACAAAAAAGGTAAAGTAGCAGGCCATCAGGATCACCAGCCAGTACTGCCGGTAACCATAACCAACAATGAAGGCGACGGCCATATAAAAAACATAGAAGCTGACGGAATAGGCGATGAGAATCGTTTTCAGCGACAGGTTGAGCCAGCTGCCCAGCAGCGGAACCATTTGCGTCAGCACAGCGCCATAACGATGTTCGGCAATATTTAAATGACCGGTATTGATATTCTGATAAACGATCCAGGCGGGGTCAATGAAGAGCATGCGCTCTTTATACCACAGCAGCGAGCCAATAGATAGCAGCAACAGGGTAAGCAGGGAAATACGGTAAGCCGCGCGTATATTTTTACTGTTATCAGTTGTCAATTAAATAAGTGTTTATAAGATGAAGGATATTCGTGCCAGAGAATACCCGCGGCTTTTATCGATATTCTTAACTTTTTGCAAAGTACTTTATTGCGCTTGCGTGTCAATGCGGATCATCGGTATAGGCCATTTCTACTTTGCATATGCGCACCGTATAGGCTTCATACCATTTCTCCTTACCTAGCCTTTGTGCGGCCTGATGTTTTACATTGGCCTTCCATTGTTTGATGGACGCTATATCCGACCAATAGGAAACCGTAATGCCGATCTCATTCCGCGCGCTTTCAACGCCCAGATAACCGGGTTGCTGGCTTGCCAATTCTTCCATCAGCCCGGCCATCGCCGAATAAGCCTCCTGATCTCCATCACTGCGTACAGAGGTGAAAATGACAGCGTAATAAGGTGGTGCTGGTGTAGGTGCGATCATCATAGCGTAAAGTTATCCGGGTTACAGCAATGTATCTCCGGCTGGTTTACAAGGTACCATACATTTATAGCAGCTCAAAAAGTTTTATGGTTTCCACAGCCTCCCGCACATCATGAACTCTGAGTATGGAAGCGCCTTGCTGCAAGGCAACCATATGTAAGGCTGTGGTACCGTTCAGTGCCTTGTCGGGATTTACCTTCAGCGGTTTACAGATCATAGACTTCCTGGAAATACCGGCCAGCAAGGGTTTGCCTAATATCCTGAATACATGCAGGTTGCTCAGTAAGGCATAATTATGTGCCAGCGTTTTGCCAAAACCAAAGCCCGGATCCAGCACCAGGTCGTGGATGCCAAGTGCGGCACAAGCCTGCACCTTGTTCCTGAGGTATTCAAACACTTCCCCGACCACATCGTTATATTGCGGATCATCCTGCATGGTGCGTGGCGCACCCTGCATATGCATGGCAATATAGGGTACCTGCAGCGCGGCCGCAGCCCCGGTCATGGCGGGGTCCATATCACCGGCGCTTATATCGTTAATGATTGCCGCTCCGGCAGCCACCGCTTCCTTTGCTACCCGGCCATAATAAGTATCTACCGACAGCCATACATCCGGAAACGTACGTGTCAGCGTTTCAATGACTGGTATCACCCGGCGCAGCTCTTCGGCCACGCTCACGTCCTCCGCGCCCGGGCGGGTAGAAGCGCCGCCAATGTCCAGGATCACGGCCCCGTCATTCAGCATTTTCTCCGCCAGCTCCAGCAGGTCTTTTGTTATGCTGTTGTTACCGGCATGGGTATAAAAGCTGTCGGGTGTAGCATTTAAAATGCCCATCACAACCGGCTTTTCCAGCGACAACAGGCGTCCCTGGCTTTGTAAGCTTGTAGCTACCGGCAAAAGTGTATTTTTGAAGCTCATTGCCC